TATTTTTCCCGTACCTTACGAAAGTAAAGAAGAGAAAAGGAGAAGTCTATTGAACGCACTTTTTTGTAATTAATATCAAGCTTTCACAAGGTCATATTTGTTTTCGATACTGATGGTAATATGTATCATTACTCTTCTTTGGTAAATATTGATCATTTGACAGTTAAAAAAGTGCTTTTAAATCGGAATTTACACGCGTAAAATCGAACCGTACGCGCATCACATCAGCGCATGTTGTTTACAACGTTGGGTACCAAACGGGGAAATTTAGTGTGTATATTACCCGTCTGGCTCGGTTATATCAATTTCTTTCGGGTGATCAATATCCAATCAAAAAGGCGGAAAAAATCTGGAAGGGTAATAAATATATATATATATATATATATATATATATATATATATATATATATATATATATATATATATATATATATATATATATATATATATATATATATAATGTCATCGTTGATTTGTGAGATATGATAACAGAGAACAAACTCTATATATGTGAATGATGAGCTTGTTTCAATGTGTAGTGCAGTTTGTGACTGTATATAAAGCTGTTCTGAAACCATCATTTTTGTGATGGTGGATGAGCAGTGGCTATGCTTTCATGGCTGTTCTGCTAGGCGCTGTGCCGTAATTGGACTGGCATATCGATGTGGTGGTATGTGTGTATATATTCTCTCATTTCTATATATATATATATATATATATATATATATATATATATATATATATATATATATATATATATATATATATATATATATATAAATATATATATATATACAGAACGACCCTATGTAGATTCAGCAATTATCTCTTTACAACAACAGCCTATTATTTTATTTGCAAAGTAAGACATCAGAATAAATTTAACCTTTGCAGATTAACACCTCATAGCAGTAACCGAAATCATTGTCTTCCAAAGGGTGTTGCTGTACAAAGGTTTTATTGTATAATATGTCTAATTTGACTTAAGGTGAGAATTTTCAACTGAAACATTGTATGGGCAGAATCCATTATTAAAATTTCAGTCAACCAATGTCAGATAAGTGTGGAAGATGAGGTTAATTAAAATAGGTGTATATTTATTTTCATGCTGTGTAAAAGATTATTTGTATGGTATTTTTACATGATTTTTTATAACCATATATACAATACAGGTAATGTAAAGTTTGTTGGTAACAGAGAAATAGATGTTATCTATGTCTCTGTTGGTATACAGTATGTTTTCAGATTGATTTTATGTGTTGAGTACATGTATAATAATGATTTGAGGTGTTGAATATAATTATAATTATGGCCAGAAAAGTAGACCATGAAGATGTATATACTATTATATCAATAAAGAAAAGCACTGAATACTGTATTTGTTGTTGTATAAAAATCCTCTTGGCTTCTTTTATAGCTATGTAGACAGTTTAGACCCTTTACAACTACTTTGTTTGTACATGTATGTTATCAATAAGTTCTTATTTCATTTTGACATTTTCAGTTTTTCTAAACTGGTATAAATTATCATCTCTGAGAAAATAATTTTCACACATTTTACATTTAGGTTTATTTAGGATTGACATGCAAAATGTACATGTTTTAAGATTTTTTTTTTATATGGTGACTTTCCAGCTTTACGGGCACCTGAGTAGAACCACCAACATTTCATAACTTATATAGGTAGGTCTTTTCACCAGTAGAGAGTGAATTGTAATATGTGTTAAAATTACTTCTTTGATCAAACAGTTTCTCATATATTTCAGTTTTATACTTCTTCTCATCAGTGTGAATTGCAATTTATAGGTCTTCTCACTATTGTAGATTACCATTAATAGTTCTATATCAATTTATATCTCGTCTCACCAGTATGGATTGCCATTAATAGTAATATAGCCATCACCAGTGTAAATTGCCATTAATAGTTCTATTGCAATTTATAGGTCTTCTCACCATTGTAGATTACCATTAATAGTTCTGTTGTAATTAATAGGTCTTCTCACCAGTGTGAATTGCCATTAATAGTTATATAGCCATCACCAGTGTAAATTGCCATTAATAGTTCTATTGCAATTTATAGGTCTTCTCACCATTGTAGATTACCATTAATAGTTCTATTGTAATTTATAGGTCTTCTCACCAGTGTGAATTGCAATGAATGGTTATATAGCCATCACCAGTGTAAATTGCCATTAATAGTTCTATTGCAATTTATAGGTCTTCTCACCATTGTAGATTACCATTAATAGTTCTGTTGTAATTTATAGGTCTTCTCACCAGTGTGAATTGCCATTAATAGTTATATAGCCATCACAAGTGTAAATTGCCATTAATAGTTCTATTGCAATTTATAGGTCTTCTCACCAGTTTGAATTGCCATTAATAGTTCTATTGCAATTTATAGGTCTTCTCACCAGTGTGAATTGCCATTAATAGTTCTATTGCAATTTATAGGGCCTTCTCACCAGTTTGAATTGCCATTAATAGTTCTATTGCAATTTATAGGTCTTCTCACCAATGTGAATTGCCATTAATAGTTATATAGCCATCAGCAGTGTAAATTGCCATTAATAGTTCTATTTAATTTACCATTAACAGTTCTATTGCAATTTATAGATCTTCTCACCATATGAATTGCCATTAATAGTTCTATTGCAATTTATAGGTCTTCTCACCATTGTAGATTACCATTAATAGTTCTATTGCAATTTATAGGTCTTCTCACCAGTGTGAATTGCCATTAATAGTTATACAGCCATTACCAGTGTAAATTGCCATTAATAGTTCTATTTAATTTACCATTAACAGTTCTATTGCAATTTATAGATCTTCTCACCATATGAATTGCCATTAATAGTTCTATTGCAATTTACAGGTCTTCTCACCATTGTAGATTACCATTAATAGTTCTATTGCAATTTATAGGTCTTCTCACCAGTGTGAATTGCCATTAATAGTTATATAGCCATCAGCAGTGTAAATTGCCATTAATAGTTCTATTTAATTTACCATTAACAGTTCTATTGCAATTTATAGATCTTCTCACCATATGAATTGCCATTAATAGTTCTATTGCAATTTAAAGGTCTTCTCACCATTGTAGATTACCATTAATAGTTCTATTGCAATTTATAGGTCTTCTCACCAGTGTGAATTGCCATTAATAGTTATACAGCCATTACCAGTGTAAATTGCCATTTATAGTTCTATTGCAATTTATAGGTCTTCTCACCATTAATAGTTATATAGCCAGCACCAGTGTAAATTGCCATTAATAGTTCTATTGCCATTTATAGTTCTTCTCACCATTGTAGATTGCCATTAATAGTTCTATTGCAATTTATAGGTCTTATCACCAGTGTGAATTGCCATTAATAGTTCTATAGCAATTTATAGCTATTCTCACCAGTGTGAATTGACATTAATAGTTATATAATTGCATTAAAAGTTCTCACCATTGTGAATTAACATATTTCTTACAATTATTTTGTTTGAGTAAAGGATCTTTCACATTTTCCACATTTATATATATTTTCACCAACGTGAAAATAATTTATCACACTATTCACATTTATAGTTTCTATCACCAGTGTGAATTGTCATATGTAATTTAAGACCACTGTTTAAAGAAAATAATTTTTTACAAATTTCACATTGATAGTCCTTGTCACCAGAGTGAATGGTTATATGTGTTTTAAGAAAAACGATTTATCGCATATTTCACATTTATAGTTCTTTTTTATCAGTGTGAATTGTCATATGACATTGCGCTAAAAGATATTCTTCACTTATCCAACAATGAAAGTTCTTTTCACCAGAGTGAACTATTATGCCATTTTTCACATAATTCACATGTATAGTTTCTTTCACCAGGTCATATTTGCTAAAAGACTGCTACTTTCAAAAAGTGTTTTATCACATATCCCACAATGAAAGTTCTTTTCACCAGAGTGAATTGTTATATGTGTTTTTAAGACAACGATTTTTCACATATTTTACATTTATAGTTTTCTTTCTACCAGTGTGAATTGTTGACCACTGTGTTTAAATAATGATTTTCCACAAATTTCACATTGGTAGTTCTGTTTACAAGAGTGAATTGTCATATGTGCTTTATGATATTTTTTTGTGAAAATAAACATTTTTCACATTGTGACTTGAACACTTCTCACCAGTGTGAATTGCCCCATGTACATCGAGACTACCACAAGCGTGATTTATCCCATTATAAAAATTGTTCAATGTATATAGTTTCTTTTTCCATAATTGTGCATTATGATTACAATGTAAGAACATGATTTGTCTCAGATTTCAGATTATGGTTGTCTTCTCACAGGTGTGTATCGTCATATGTGTTTTTAGAATGCTCTTAAAATAAAAGATTTTTTTTTACAATACATATGTCACATGTATATACATCTATAGTTCTTTCAACAGTGTGAAGTTTCTGATGATCATTTTGACCACTCTTAAGTGAATTGATTTATCTCACTACTAACATTTCAAGTTCTCACCAGTTATAAATTTTCGTATGATTTTTAAGATTATTATGAATTTTCGTATGATTTTTAAGATTATTAACTTCTTGCATAAACTGATTTTTCACATATTTCATATTTATATTAAATGTTTTATTTTTTTTCACCAGTGTGAACTAAGTCTCATGTATACGTACTTTAAGACCACTTGCAAGAAAATGATTTATAACACTTTTCACAATAACAGTTTTTTTCCCTCCAATATGAACAGTCATATGGTTTTGTAAGTGTTATTCTCTAATGAAAAATGTTTAGCAGTTTTTTTTAGATTCATATTTTTCTCCACCAGTATGAATTGTCATTACTGTGCTATAATACCATTGCTATAGAAAGTGATTCATATAATACCATATGTTTTTTGTTGTTATTGTTTACACCAGTGTGAATTGTCATATGTGCCTTAAGACTGAGCCATTTGAGAAAATAGTTTATCACATATGCCACATTGATAGTTCTTCGATCTTACTTGAGAGACTTAAATTGTATCAAATTCTTAATTGTTCTTTTTTCTTGGCTTGTCTCACAGTCTCTGTACCGCTTCTTAATATTATTGATCATGATTGTGTACAACGTAAGGGCTGACCTAACTTCTTTCTTATATATTATCTTGTCAACTGTGCTCACCATTTCATCTGTACATATTCTTTTTTTTAGCCTAAAATACCGCTTCTTGTACTTCTCCTTTTGTCGCCGCTCATTGTTGAGCTGTATTCGCAATTTAAACTGCTCTCTGTATACTTTAGATCTATTTAAATTTTTCTTTTTTCTGCCTGCGGACTTTCTGGACTCATATTGGTTTTGTTGAATGATGTGATGCTCAGGTGAGGTTGGTGAATTTGGTGGACTTAAAATCTTACTTACGTCATGTTGTAATTTTTTATCTTTCTGTCTCTTATTCCGTTGATTTATACGCCAATTACGCCGAAGTTTTCTTTGATCTCGTGTAGACAACTCTGCAACTGGTAAGAATTGGCCTTTCTCTTTCCTCTTTTTATATCTTTCTTTCTCCTTTCTTTTATATTCTTCATGTTTCATTGGGTTTTGACGTTGGCGCTGTCTCCATAATGCAGATCTCTCTGCGCTTGTAAGTGCCATTTAATCTGCTTTGTAAGTAAAAGCCTTTGCTCTTTATTGTGTGTAACAGTTTCGTAAAGATCTCTTATTTCGTATCTGTATTCCAGGTAATTTGGTTTAGAGAGAACTGTTGAGATAGCCTTTTCAGCTTTACCAATATTTTTGTCAAGCTTATCAAGTTGTCTTCGTTTTTCTACAATCCAAAAATATAGTTATTATGTAAAACATGTTTTGTAAGGTTTGTAAAAGATCGTCACAGAACTAACGAGCATGGACAGGCTTCTAATGTGTAAGTATAGATGTCTGCGACACAGAGAATACTGAATATAATGTATTATTAAAGAATATTAACAGAAAAAAAATATTTACAAAAATTGTACTTTAATTTATACATTTATGTTTTATATTTGTATTTTAAATTAATATGTCATCACCGCAACAAATTTGTCATTACCGCAACGATAGTCATTGTTTTGGAAATGACCGTTTCGGAAATGACATTTTGTTAATTATTTTAAACAAGCGTCTATACTTAAGAGATTAAGAATGTTTAAACTTATCGTTTAGAAATATACACCATAATAGAATGTTATAAAAAAATTATCTAAACTGGTTTCTTATTCATAAATATTTTACAAGTCATTCGGTAATGACCTTTAAAAAACATACGATACTAAACTACAAACTTACCAATTGTATCGTCGATGAAATAAACGTCCGCCATAACAGAGCGCTACTTTCAAACTTTCGCGCCAAAGAAACTTTTGATTACGTCACAAACCGGTTTTGTATAAATATTTATAGAGTGAAAATCATATCGTTATCGTCATTGTCACGGAAATGACATGAAAATGGGTGACACATTTTTAATATGTTTTTGCAAAAAGTAAATACATAAAAGAATTATATAATTCTATTTTTTATTTCTACTACTTCTTCACTGTATATAATAGTACATTTTACATGTAAAGGAACTTTTAATTTTTTACAAAAACTAGTGATATTTTGTGCATCTATGTTAGGGACATTGTAATTTTCAGCATTCTTTAGTTTTATTAACATAAATGTCTATATACATATCAAATAATAAGTCTATTATAAGTCCCTCATGGCTCTGTATACTTTGTTTTACAGTGTATGTGAAAAAAACCCTTTAATTTTACCAATCAATAAAAAACTGAATAAGATTGATTACACGAGACGTAAATATACGAGGTTTGGTAGAATTACCCATTTACGTGAAAAAGATGAATACATCATCACATGTTTTACCACGGATTTATATTACAGGTAATATAAATCCGTGGTTTTACGAACCAGTGTGAATCCTCATATCTTGTTTAAGACTTATACATTAATTGAGATAATAATTGATCACGTCTTTCACATTTAAAATGCTTCTTACAATTGTGAATTGTCGTATATCATTTTTTTTTGTAACACAATGATTTCTACACCTAAGTGAGAATTATCATATGCTCTTAATGGCAATAGTAAACTGCCTCCATAAAATATTTTTCATTTAAATTTTACATTTATGGTCCATTTTTCACTTATACGTACGTATTTCCATGTTAAAATGACAGAACTTTCTGTGAAAATAATTGTATATGTTTTAACATGATTTTACAACTTTTGCAATGGCGAGTTCGTATACATGTGTACATATATTCTCTTTATAAAACATTTTTAATTACATGTATCATTATCATTTTTACTTGTGTTCTTTTTCTTCTCAACTGCATAATTGCCATAGCCGCTAATTCTATACTAATGTTCCTAACAGTACACCGTACATACCGCACAAACTTCGGTCGGGTAACTTCGGATATTTCCGTACGCTCATAAGGTCGAGGACATCTGAAAGTTACTGTTTCGATATACGACCTTTACCCTTAACAATGTACGCAACACATGAGATGCCTTATATATTATAGGTAAACGGTAAGTAGAGCATTGTCCGTAAGAGCAGACAATTACAATTGCTATTTTATGTTACAACTAACAATTTCCTACTGTTTTACTTTGGAAATTTTCTGTTAAAGCGTGTTTGCAATAACTGAAAAACAGGCACATTCGTACGCAAATTGTTTCGTACCTAGCAAGACGTTGTTTACAAATAGAGGTCACGCTTCGCACGGTATAAAAATAAAATGTCAGATTTGGTTGATCGTAAGGTTAGAAATAATGGTAACAAGGTATCAGTTTGTGTAAATAGATGCATGTTTAGTTGTTTTCTTTGTTTCAAGATAATATGCCCCCCCCCAAAAAAAATGCCTGTCCACTCTATGTTTATGTCAGCTGGGACAGAAGATAAGGTATTTTTAGTCTCAGATGTCAGTGAAATAAAACAACACTACTCATTTCTGCAAGAAAAGCCAGAGTGTATTTGTATGTGTGCCTGAAACAAAAGTCAATTTTAAATTGTTATTGCTTGTAAAAAACAATATTTTTATGTTAAAAAGGTGGATATACAAATGTAGTTTCATCGTTTAACTCAGATTCTGTAACATTATGTAATTCTATTCATTACCGAAATGTGAAAAATAAAGGTACAACAACTGGGACGATTTACTGCAAGATTTATGATGATTATAAGTTATTCATAATGTTTTCAAAATAACAGATACACATGGTTTCTGTTTGACTCATTAAATTTGCTTTTGATTGAATATATTGTCGTTTCCTTGTGCATAAAATAATTAATAGTGACAATTGATGACCATATTTCACATATTTTTTAATATAGAAAGCAAAACCATTCTAAATAGTATTATTTATTAAACTAATGGAAAATGCATGATATTATAGCTCACTGTTGGTGTACTGTTTTTACAGCAGGTCTAAATAATACTTAACATTTTGTTATTTATGATAATTTAAATTCAGAAATTATAATGCTATGTCCAGGAGATGAGAACAGGCTTTAGGCTGACATGAGTACACATGTCCAGAAACTAGGCCTAGTCCAGTGAAAATATGTAAACTTATCTTGAATTGTGTTATCTACATAGTAGTGACAAAAACTTTAACGAAAAGTGTTTAATTGTTAAATAATAACAGTTTAATATATTTTTATTTATATTATTAACCTTTAACATGTCTTTGTCCACACAACGGGCTTGACATTACTAGGAGATAGATATAAAACCTGCTATAGTACTATACATGCCACCAGTATTTAGCCAGGCCAGCTAGCCTGAACAATTGTATCAGTCTGATATGGCTCCATACTATTGGTAGCTCAACTGTTTGCAGCTGGACTGTTACAATATCAAAAGCTAATCAAATCCATTACATAATTCAGCTACTGAGGTCATGGAAAAGTCATATCATGCATGTGTAAACTGATAAACAATTTCAACAATTTTTTGTTTGCTTTTATTTACAGTTTGAAAGGTCATAGCAACTGGATGGGAATGTTGTAATAATGCTAATAGTTATGGTTTAATGGAATAAATGTTTGAGACCTGACATTATGGAAAAGCAGCACAGCAATTCGACTCAAAGGTATGTGAAGGTTTGTTTCAGATATTAAAATGTACTTAATTAAGGTTCTATTAAGATGAATGTTAAATGTTGATACACGTATTTGGTATATGGATGGTTTGCTGCAGCACAAAATTATAATACATGTACTATAGCAAAATAATGCACATTCTTAAATGTTTGTGCTAAGAATATGAATTTGAATAATTAAACTTTGACTTAAGGTAGACCATGGGTAATGGGCACCATAAGGAACTGTAAAATTGACAACATAGGACAGTTATATGTCTTCAAGGTCACCTGTATGCAAAATTTAAATAAAATTTACCGTGTGGTTTATGAGTTATGGATATATTTCTGAACTAAGACTTTGCCATTAGAAGGGCTTATTTTCAAAAATAAGGAAACTGTAAATAATCTGTAATATCATCATTATAAAAAATGTTTTTCTATTGCTCATTGTTAAGAAACAAATAATAACATTCATATAACACATTACACAAGCAAAATGTTTGTTTCTAAACAAAATGTTCTTAATATGTATAAAAATGTTACCCTACCCCACCCACTTTCAGCACTAATTTTACCATTTCCCTATCTAAAATGCCTTATTCAAAATATCCCTAAGATTTATCGAAATGAGGGTCTGTTTTCAAAGTTTGCCTAAATTTTCTCAAAGGTATATTCGTTGATCATGCGAAATATAAAATACTTTTACCGTGTAGTTTTTATTTTATCGAACTTTGAAAATATCTGGTATCATATTTGCTAATTTTGGCATTATTTAGTAAAAAAAATACCTAAAATTATTATATAATTTAAATCAAACTTTTTTCTACCATAAGGGATCAGAGAGATACATAAATAATGTTTAAAAGAAAAAAAGAAAGAAAAAAAAAGTTGCCCCTTATGGGGTTTGAACCCACGCCCCTCAATTTCAATGTAGTTTACAAGCGATTCTAGCCTATTTGAATACTCTTCAAAGTGGAGGTAATGCATTACCCATGGTCTACCTTAATTATGATAACAAGGCAACTATACTGATTGGGTTTATTTTATATATATAATATTTTATGTACAAATAATTTTATCCTCGGTGAACATACATTGTAAGTCAAGAGAAATAAACAACAGATGATGAATATTTACATTATTGTACAAGAAACTTGTCTGAGGCAATAATGGTATCTTTTCCATTATGTTAACAAAACTTATTTTACAATTTGTATATATGGAATCATACTGTGATATGTTTTTTTTATAAATTGGAAAAATGTTTAGAAAATATCAGCCATAAATGTAATAAATAAAATTTGAAGAGCTTTTGCATGAATTCTTTTAATTTGAGAATTTTATGTAATATTGAGAGTTATTTTTACATTCCTTTTTCAGCAATCGTTTTGACCGGGAATTTTTCAAGAGGTTTTTCCGTCTTCTTCCCTGGTTGTTCCCATCTTGGATCAGTAAACCTGTCCTATTGTTTATTTTACTGCTATGTCTTGGTTTGTTAGGTAAGTGAATGATTTCATCAAGTTTAGCTCTTACAATACAGAAACCATAGGTGATAAGCCTTTGCCACTAGTATAGAGCCATACCTGGTTGCTAATCCCTGCAGTCTGATCAGGCTATATTCTTTTTGCAGCTCAATTTTGTATTTTGATATTAACATCCCTTAAACTTTGAATTGACCATTCCAGATTCAAAGTAACACAAAATAATCCATTACACCATTACACTTACATTACAGGTTAAGTGATAAATTTTGTTGTTGTTTTTGTAACCACTTGAAATCTGTACATGGTATATTCATTTCCTTTTGCAGTATGTATTGTGAATTGCAAAGTTTGAAAAAAAAATGTGTGATTATATATATCTTTTGTGTCAGAAAAAAATGGCATTGCAGTCAGCGGGTTGACTTTTAGGCCTCAACCGCCACTGCCCCTCTTGTGTTTGATTAAACTTTTATGTTCAGTATTTATGTAATAGACACGTTATGATTTGTGAATTCCTAGATCACTACCCAATATTCATAAAAATGTCTTTATTTTATAAAGAAATCTTCCCCATTGTAAATTCTTACAGTATCCAAGCTATTGCTTTACTATCAAGCAGTGAGAAAAGTTCAGCCTGCTGTCCCTTTGAAAGCTTTCTGACAGCTGTTGTTTTTGCAGACTTAATTACGTCATTATACTTTTTTTCCAATTAGTTTCCAAATATCACAAAAATGATTTTATTTAGCCATATGGGCATATGAAATCAATTTTTGATGTAAAATATCTGTACTGTATATTTCAGTAACATAACTTTTGTAAGAATGATATGATATGATAATATTTCATCTATAAAAATTTCAGAACAGTATGTTATTTACAATATTGGTATGGTGCCAAGCAAGTACTATAAAGTGCTTGGTGACAAGGATCAAAATGGTTTCTGGAAACAAACTGCAATTGCTGTTTCTTTGATCGTAGCCGAGGCATTCGTAAGTACTGTCATTTCTGAACATGTGTTCAATCTTTTAGCCTAAGGCTTATATTTCATAAAATGAAGCTTTTTAATTGACTTACAGACCGGTTTTAGATGTATGAAATAATGTACAGAATGGCATTGCAGATGTTCCTATATAAGGCTGAAAAAGCAAAAGTATGACCTAAGCAGTGTCAATACATCACATACTCGAGAAAAATTATAAGAATAATTTACAAAAAAAAGGGAGAAGGAAAAACCCTAAAAAATGACATAAAAACTTGAAAGAATATGCTCATTGGCATGGCTTTACAAAATACTAATATAAAGCTCTGCTATTCACTCTGTTTCTGGCATGGGTATCCATGTCCAGAATTCTGGTTTAAGTTTTTATGCAGTAATTTTTTTTTAATACAATTTCTTATTTTCTGAGAAATTTTCTTTAAACTTCAAATATAAGTGCCTTATCATTGCCCACATCATATACATGTATACTATGTAAACTAAAGGTTAATAACTGTTGCAACTACATAGTCAGAATTATATTCCCTTGAACTTAGAATATTCCTTAAAAATGTGTTACTTTTTACGGTAGCCTTTTCATTATTTGTGATATTTACTTCAAACTTTAAATACATGTATAAAATTGAAATAAAGATGCTAGTGTTATGAACCTTGTCATACACTGATGTGAGTAATGACAAAGAAAAACCTTTACAACTTAATTATATGCCATTCAAATCAAAATTGCTTCAGAAAAACAAACTGCAATTGATGTTCCTCTGATTGTACATGTAGCTCTCTCCTTTACAGCTCTTGTGTTATAGTTATCCTTGAAATAATCAATCAGTCATGTTTTTCTTTATTTCTGCTAAAATGATTAAATAATAACATAATATTTTATCATAGTAAACTATTATATTATATATTAATAATATTGTATTCAGATTAAAGCAACAACAACATTTGTATCATCGTTCCTGTACCTGGTATGGCGTGATAATGTCACGAGAAATCTGCATACCAAATACTTCAAAGAGGTCGTGTACTACTCTGTTAATGTGTTGGACAAGACAACTGATAATCCGTAAGTAGTCTGTTGTAATGATTTTACTAATGGATTTAATCCTGACATTACTAATAGATTTTGTCCTGACTTTACTAATGGATTTTGTCAAGAATTTACTAATGAATTTTCTCCTTACTTTACTAATGGACTTAAACTACATGTATAGTTTTGTTTAGTTGAATTTGTGGCAATTGATGATTACAGCTATGATAGAAGTGATGGTGGTATTAGGCAGTTATAGCAGTAGCTGTTTGTAATACATTAAGGACAAAGTCAGCTTTAAATATTTATACTTCCACTGGCAAAACAAATAAGACAGTTACCAATATAGTCAATAAGGACTATATGGATGATCCAATTATTTGATGAAGTTAGTTTATACAGAATTTTATTTTAATTTGATTAAATAGCAAGCTATAAGCCTAGAAGCTGATAGACACACTCTTGAATTCCATTCCTGGAACTAATAGTACTTGGCAATGTGAGTAAAGTTTCTTGATCAAGGAAACTTCATGTATGGCTTGCCTTGATCAGGGTTTGAACCCACAATCCTAAGATTTCTAGGCTGACATGTTTAACCATTCAGCCATGCTGTCACTTGATGAAAGTGATGGGGATCAATCCACAGGACTGAATTTGTAGTTAAACTTCTCAGTGTAAATGATTATATACAATTTGTTTTTACAAATGGTACAACATCTACATTTTATTTCCCTGTGTGATATAAATTTTTGTCAATCTATTTTCTAAGATCATTAGATGTGTTTCAACATGTATTTTAGCTATTTTTGAAATGATGTCACAGTATTTTTTTGATTTTGTTTACAATTTTTTTTACTTCAGAGATCAGAGGATTACCCAGGATGTTGACAAGTTGTGTAATACATTAAGCCAGATTTGTGCACCTTTAGTTATCTCCCCTTTTACAATAGGATACTATATCTACAAAGCTCAAGAAGGGTAACTAACTCTACTTTAAATGTAACATGTGTTATTTGTTATCTCCCTTTGTTAGTGAAGTAAACTAATATTTGTTGTATTCTCAAGTCCTAACCTTAATGTGAAAAGAGAGAATGGTTTTTTCATAAAATCAACATCTTAACTTTGATTTTAACATGAAAGTGATAGATTCCTTTTAGAATCAAATAGTTGTATGTACATTTTTTGTTGTATTAATGCAGGATTGCTAAGATTTTATTAAAAAGTATTCATTTGAAATACCTCATAAACAATTTTACTTTACATTTTAAGAAATGCCTTAACTGTTTACTTCATATTTAATATACCAACCATAACAATTTTACTTCACATTTAAAATACCACTGAAACAGTTTTATTTCACATTTGAAATACCACCTAATTCAAAACAATTTATCTTCACATTTGAACAGACTTCTAAAAATCTTACTTAACATAATATTATGAAACCCCCATTTAAACAATCTTAATTCACTTTTCAGGCCCGTCGTCACGATTTTGTGATTGGTGCGGCCAATTTGATTGGTTTTAGGTAGAATCTAGGGGGGTACATGCTCCCCCGGAATTTTTTTTATTCTAGGATGCTCTCAGGGGCGTTTTCCCGTATATTTGGCACAGTTTACAGTCTGCCGCTAGTACATGTTATAGTAATATGTCAACTTTTTTTTACAGATTTAAGTGCGTCGTAAGTTTTAAGGGTGAAATTTAAGGTTCGCATGACGGACGGACAGGTGTACATAAAAGATGAATACATGTAATTGATATTTGGCAAATGAAAAATAAACAATAACTGATGTTTTCATAATTCTTTAGATGCATTCTTATCTGATGATTATAAATAAACAAATAAAAGAAATATTACAGTACGTGGATTATTGTTTAGCATAAATCACACAATGGTATAAGCTTAAATAACAATCGATGACATGATGGAAGAATATATAATTACGAGTCAACAATAACCACTTTTTGTTTAGCAGTAACTTGTATTTTGTTAACAATAATATTACACAACACAGAGTCTCATTTTATGTCAATTTTCCAAAAACACATAGCCGTCGTTCTCTGGTAGTAATGAACTCATCGGCAATTACACGTAAGTTGAGTGAATCTGTCCTGTACTTATGAATATGTAACACCATTAGATTGTTCAAGCGTACTTGAGACATTGTCGATCTCAGGTATGTCTTAATTCTACTGAATGTCCTTTCACTGGTAGCATTAGTAGCAGGCATTACTAACAAAATCTTTAACAACACAACGACCTCGGAGAACAGTGCTGACGGTTCTGACGCAAATTTCAAAATGTCAGGTAGAGTAACAGTACTATTTTCTGATTTGTCAAAATGTGAACATAGCAGCTGAATCTGCACTTATAACATGTCTCGGTTAATATCGTTACCACAGAAATCTCAAACAAAACCAAGTTCTCTAGTGTATTTGGTAAATTCTCCACGTTTTGAAGTACGCGATATCCCGGTTGGTCAAATCTCTCTTTAACACAGGCGATGGCAAGATCGATTGCTTCAAAATACCTAGGCCGGAACACGTCCTGCACTGTAACGGGGTGGTTGCCAACACCGTGCCCCATCTCGAATCGTGTGGGCGCCTTTCTCTTCCATCCAGTGTATTGGTAATTTCCATAAGTGTCAAATTGCTAATCAGCGATGCGTGTTTTTGTTTTTTTGTTGTTTTTTTTTACTCATTTTTGGCCAAAATATTGACGACGGCCTTGCTTTTGAAACACCACCTAACTGAAAACAATTTTCTTTAAATTTGAAATGCCACCTTATCAATTTTACTTCTTATTTGAAATACCCTCAAAACATTTTACTTCACAAATATCAATTTTACTTCTTATTTGAAATACCCTCAAAACACTTTTACTTCACATTTGAAAAACTACTGAGTCTGATAAGGGAAGGTAACTGCCAAGAGGAGTATGATATCATATACATTATACTTTGATATGATATGACTCAATATCCTTTTGATATGATATACTTTGAAATACTTTCAGATCAGGAATTATAGGACCAGTGGGTGTGCTGATATTCTTTATCATAGCAACTGTTGTCAACAAACTTTTGATGTCACCTGTTGTCAAATATGTCTTTATAAGAGAAAAGATGGAAGGAAATTTTAGGTATGAAATATTGAGTTCTCATATAGATTATGTCAACATAACATAGATGTTTGTTATGAAACTATTTTTCTGAGGATAATAAAACCATTGTGTGATATTTTGTAGTTGAATGTTTCTGACTCTTAAAATTTGTTAAATTATCTCTGCATTTATATTTTTTAAAGTCTGTTACTTTGTTACACCAGTATTTATGTGTGTGAGGTGCCTGTGGCCAATGGTTAAGGTCATTGACTTTAAACCACTTGCCTATCATTTGTTGGTTCAAATCCAGCCAGGAATGTTTGATTTCTTCATATGGGGAAGCTATCCAGCTAGCTTATGGAATGTTGGTGGTTCTGGTCTAGGTTTTCATCATTTACAGATTAGCAATCCATATCATTTGTTTAAATGCTGTAAAAATTGGTTGTATTTTTAGCCTGTAGATTAAAATATCCCCCTTGAACCTTGGCCAGATCGGCTGTTTTTGTTGGCACATCTGTTGCCTTAGATAAAAAAACCTCCTGCTTCTCAGGTGCCCACTTGTGCCTGAAATAATGCACGGAAGGGCACGAGAGGTATTTCCTCACCAGTAAATGTGGAAAGTCGCCATATGACCAATACAGTGTCAATGTGACTTACAACCCGACAACACCAACATTTACACATATGTTTTATTTTGCAGGTTTAAACACATGCAGATACGGTCAAACAGCGAGTCTGCGGCATTTTATAGGTCAGGTAGCGTGGAGAAGGATAAATGTAACAAGCACCTGTTTAACTTAATTAATACTCAACATAAACTTATAAGAAAGGAGTATGCTTTACATTGTAAGTTAATTGACTTAAATACCATTGTTTATTGTCATTTAAACATGGTGCGCTTCTCTGTTTTGTGAAAAGATGCTTATATGTAGAAGAAACTACCTATTTTTTGCCAATATATGTATTATCTTCAATTATACAGTTGTAATTATGTTGTAATGTTTATCAAGAAACAAAAACACATGTGTTTTTGTCTTACATTAAACTGTTTGTTTCTAATAAAAAATCTAGTGCATCAATCTATACCAAATGCTTTTTGTTTACGCTTCAACACTATGGTCACAATGACATTATTTAAAGGTCTAATGACTCATAATTTATAAAGGTTCGTTTTGTTGATTTAATGCCTATGTTAGTAAATTATTGGTCATATCATGGCAGTTGATCCATTTAACCAGCTTTGGTGGATAGCTTACATGTAATAAATTTCTCGGCAAGTGACTGACAACCTGTTCCACATGATTTCTAAATCAGCTGTGAAATACAAATGGCCATTCGATTCGATGTCAGTGATCAATTGTGACAGATTATTTGGCATCACCTGAGGATCAAACCAGTAACCTCTTGATTACAAATCCCATGCTGTACCTTTTAGACTATTTAACAGGTTTATATACTAGTAAGGTATGTTATGATTGCTTTATTATCTGATTTTCAGTTGCAGTAAATTTATTTGACTATCTAGGAAGTATATTCAGCTATATTGCTATATCATTTCCTATATTCCTGGGAGCATATGACAGCCTCTCTTCACCAGATCTCTCTGCACTTATATCTGCTGTAAGTACACAATATGCATTAAAATAACTTTGATCTTAACCTTTTCCTTGTCAGAGGCTTATTTGAAGAATTACCTCAAATTGTATTACCCTGGAAATTTATAAAACTTGACATTATTTATTTTGAAAAAAACAACATGCTTTCTCTTTTTTTACCATACCTACATTTTTGTGTCGCCTCTACGGAGTAGTGGCGACATATAGGACTCACTTCTCCGTCGTCTGTCCGTCGTCTGTCTGTCTGTCCGCACTCACAGGAGAGTAATTATGTGGCTAGAGGGACAATAGGTAACTGTTCTTTCTCTTTGATGTCATTCATTCAGTAATGATTTTATGTGGCTATTTTCTTTTGCGTGGCTAAAAAGAACAATAGAGAGAACAATAGAGTAGCCACATAATTCCTGTCCTGTGAGAACGTCCGTCCGTCCATCACAAAAATTGTCCGGACTACTCCTCATAAACTACTGGTGCAATTTCATCCAAACTTTACAGGAATGATCAGTACCAAGTCTAGTTGTGCATATTGTCAGCATTTTCCGGTTCAATGATTTTTGTCAGAGTTATGGCCCTTTAATAATTTTTATTTTTAAAGTTTGTCCGGACTACTTTCTTATACCACTAATGCAATTTCAATGATACTTTACAGGATTGATCTGTAGCTCAAGTCCTTGCGCATATTGCATGGGTTTTCAGGTTGAATGATTTTTGGTTGAGTTATGGCCCTTTGATAAAAAGGTGTTTTTTTCTGTGTGTTGCCAGATACACAAAAGCTTGTCCGGACTACTCCTCATAAACTACTGGTGCAATTTCATCCAAACTTTACAGGAATGATCAGTACCAAGTTTAGTTGTGCACTGTCTGTCTGTCCGTCTGTCACAAAACTTGTCCCAACATGAAATTGGCCATCATGAGGCGACACATGTGATCACTGATCGCTCATGTTAATGAAAGTAACAAATTTTATTTTAAATGAAATGATTTATTTCCACTTTAAATATGAAATACTAAAATATGGTAAAAAAAAAAATGGTAAAAAAAAAAACAATAAATAAAATAAACTTTTCATTACCAAAGATATCTGGTATACATAAAAGTTCTTCTCAGCAAACAGAGTGTACTGTAAGTAAAGAGGGTATACTTGTCTTGTAGGCAAGGAAAGAAATAATTATTTATGAGATTTATGTGATACTAACAATAACTGTGTCATCTTGCCATTGTAATATTAAAATATTTTGCCTCTATAATGATTCATCTATAATAATGTTAGAAATTTATTTAACTCTTACTACCCCATACATTTTAAATGGACCTGTCCATCTTTCAACCTAGACAAAACAATTCTTATTTCTCGGGAAAATTTCAAAATATGTATAAATGGAATCCTAACCTGAGTTCAGACCCTTGGCAAGGATGTGCAGAATGAACTAGGACTGCACTGGTTGCACGAGGTGAATAAGTTGCCACCAGCACACTATAGGGGTTGACTAGTTTGTTAACAAAGTAAAAATGATATTCCTAAAACATGTATACATTTCTTTGTTTCAGAATGCATTTGTAATTATATATTTGATCAACTGTTTCACCAAGTTGATAGACCTTTCTGTAACAGTCACACAAATAGCTGGAACAACTCACAGGTAATGTATTTTTCTTCATGTTATTCATTACACATTGAACTATGTAAATAAAATTTTAGTAATATTATACATGATATATATGTTGAAAATTTCACTATTATCTTCTGTTACACAGCCTGTTCAAACCAGAAATGACTGGCCTTTGTCAGTAATATAGAGCCAGGTCAGCCTGCACTACCTGTCTTAGTACTAGTCTCATTTTGTTGAAAGCATATAGAACTTTTAAAGTTATATCTATCGTTTAATAGCACATGTTTTACAAAGATTGTTTTGATTATGCAGAATATCTTTGAAGCCTTTCTGTTCTCAATTACTAGTTCAAATGATATACATGTATAATGTATAGGTAGATGTAAATTCTAAATGTCTGTCTAGCTAGATATAAAACAAATCAGAAATATGTGACAAAATTTTATTTTGTCTGCTGTAAATTATTTTTCATTACTTTATTCACATTTTGTACAAACAGACAATCCATAAATTTAAGAACCCATGAAATATACTGTTTGACAAAACAAGGAAATTAGATTTGATTGACATAAGATATAATTTGTTTACAGAGTTGTAGAGTTACTACAGGTTTTAGAAAAGTTAAAGAATTGCCAAGATACAAAACTTGCCAGTAGACCAAAGGAGATTAGAGGGTTTGGCTGGAGTGAGATGTAAGTAAAATAATATTGAAGTAAAATTATGTTAAAGTAAAAATATATGAGTAAAAATATATGCTGGTGTCTGTGGCAGAGTGGTTAGGGTTTTTGACTGTGAACCAGTTGCCTCTCATAGCTGTGCAGTGATTTCAGATTCTTTCATGTGATGGAAGCTATCCAGGTAAACTTCACAGTGTCGTCTTGACTTTAAAACTTAATACCAAGTAACAGTTAACTAAGTAAATATACTAGAGTGTATATGTACTATTAACAAAACATCTCAAGTCTGTAGCTCAGTTTTGGAACCCTTCAATTAATGTGATCATATGGAAAATGTAAAAAATACATGATCTGGGAACTGTTGCATGATTGCCTTGCAAAAAATCATTTACCGGTTGACACATCAGAATGGCAGCCACCGTTCAACCCTGTGCAATCACAATAGGTCACTGAATGGGTTCAAATAATTAGAGTCTATGCATCTCTTTGCTCTAGCAGGTGAGATGGTTTTGACCCCTGGGTGTTGATGTAAGTTTGAAACACATGAGGTTAGCCAAAATCATCTTTCCTGTTTCGGCACCATATGACATAAACTGTTTTGGTTTGCCAGTAAACCAAACAATTTATCAAATCTTTGCTTAAAAGGACCTTTCTAGGGTTTAATTAAATGCAAGGATTATATTTTCCAGGGAGACATTAATGGGAAAGGATGAGCAGGATAAAGAAGAAAATGAAGCACCACAGTCTCCAGTTGCTGCATTTGAAATATCAGACCTGACATACACTGCACCAAAGTCAAGTCAGAAACTATGCACAGGTTAGTTTGTTTGTTTGTTGTTTTTTACACCAGATTTTTTTGTCATGTCTCGGGAGTCAATCTTATTTTCCTGGTTAGCAAACCAGCAATCAAAAATATCTCCACAAGTGACCAACTACTTAAACCAAATGATTTCTAAATCAGCTGTGTACTTGATATATATTGTAAAGATGTAAGTTTTAATGTGTTATTCCATATTTTGATATACAGTATTTTGTTTTCAGGTTTAAATCTAAAGTTTGAGCAGGGGTTGAATATCCTAGTTACAGGAGACAGTGGATGTGGGAAAAGCTCACTTCTCCGTGTCATCAATGGTATTTGGCCAGAGGTCAGAGGTAGGACTTTTGAGTGTCTTTATCTGTTGAAATTGTTTGTTTGTTTTGGTTTTACATCACACTGACACAGTATAGGTCATATGGTGACGTTTTAACTTTACTGGTGGAGGAAGACCTCAGGTGCCCTTTTGTGCATTATTTGGCACAAAGGGGCATTCAAGTAGAACCACAGACATTATGTAAGCTAGCTGGATATCTTCCTCACATGTAGGAATTTAAAGTCCCTGTCATGATTTGAACCCACAGTGGCGAGGGACAAGTTATTGTCTATTGAATTTTTTTTAATGAAATTAGTTGATGCAGATTGATTTCTAATGTTACAGTAAACAAAATAGTGACAAGTTATTGGTGAATGACAACTATGATGAATGATTATGAGCAAATTATAGCAAATGTGTTTATATTTAGTCACAAAATGTTGTATGTAAATATCAATGATTGTATTAATATGTTTTTGAAATACGAAATAAATAAAGGAAAAAAAAAGATTTTGAGCTACAATTTTATCACTGTATCAATCTAAGCTTTGCATATATAACAAAATATTGCATTTTGTTTTGTCTCTTTGTTTTTCTTGGTTAAGATCTTGACTTTTATTTCAAACCACTTGCCCATCACCTTTTTGGGTTCCAATTGTGCCAGAGACTTTTAATTCTTACATGTTAGTAAACTATCCAGCTAGCTGACAGAATGAATGTCATTGGTTTCAATCAGGTACCCTCTAGTGCTTTAAATTATGTGCATAGTGGCACCTGGTCTTCTTCCACTAGAAAGACTGAAAAGTTGCCATGTGACAGTGCCAGTTTGATTTAAAACCCAACAACAACAACACTATTTGTTTATTAGCCTGTATGTTTTATCAAATTAACCGTAAGAAATAATGTTTTTGAGTTGAATGTAATTTGAGGATAACAACAAAAATTTAAAAAAAATGTTAATAATATAGATTTAGCTTAATTGAATTTATATATGTTATCTAATAGTTATTTCCCATTTCCTTATGTATAAGTGTTTTGAAAAAAAAAACGATGACCAGACTCTGTAAAACAAATTTGCAGTTTTCACCCTATATTTTACTCCTGTTTACTGTCAATGAATCTCAATTTTCAGGAATATTTGTACTATTATTTTCTATGATGGACAGGTACTATTGACTACTTGGTAGACTTAAAGCCTAGTGTGATATTATTCTTACCACAGAAACCTTACTTTACTGATGGCTCTTTGAGACAACAGGTTAGTCTATTACACACAATTATCATTAATATAATTATTATTGATCATCCAAAGCTTTCACCTATACCCTGCAGTTTAATCTACCCATGTAACCAGTGCAGGTCATGATTAGCCTGCACATCTGTGTCTGCATTGGTTGCTATTCAGTCAGTACATATTTATAAATTTTCTCTATATTAAGTAATGAATAGTTTAGCCCATATTGAAAAATGGACAAGTCCATTCAGTAAATAATTTATTTTCGTAAAAGTAATGAATAGTTTAGTCCAAATTGAAGATGGACAAGTCCTTTGAAGATATTTAGCCTGTTAAGTGTTAAATTGTTACTAAATTTTTCTGGTTAAAAGGGAGACATTTCTTATACACAGGTTTTATTGTCTGGGACTGAGTAAATTTGTCAAAGGGTACCAGTTCTTAATAGGAGAATAAGGTGAATTGATATATTTTTGGAAATATACTTTATACAAAGTATATATGATTTTTATTGATGCACAGTATAACTTCATAAAATTAAATAAGCAAAAGGTGAATAAACAGTTTTGAACTACCCAAATCTGAAAAATGATATCCGGAAAACATTATATCAAATACTTAATTAAAAAAAATGAAAAAGGTTTCATTATAGATGTACATGTCAGTATGAATTTTCTCTAACAGTGAGTACTTAGTCCCTTTCAAATTATGAAATTTTGAAATTCATTAATTTAAGGAATTGTATATCAATAATTGTAGGACTAGTTGTAATGTATTGATGTTTGTGAAATTTCAGGTTATTTATCCATTGAAAGAATTTGATAGAAGAGGAAGTTTCAGTAAGTTGATCTTAGTTTTTGTAAGTTTTAATGTTTGCCGTGAAATTGATTCACTCTATGCTTTGCACTCTTAAATTTTGTCCTTGAACTCTTTGCCTGCTAGCAGCAACAGATTTTACCTATGCGACCACATTGGTCCAAGATCAGCTGTCACATTTATACCTTCAGATCATGGTCTGCACTGTTCATTTTTCAGTCATTTTACATTTTGCTTAAAATGTGTAATGGTTTTGTCTAGGTTGTTAGATAAACAAGTCTATATAAGAAATTCAGGAGGTTAAAGGTTTGGCCATTTCATCATACGATAACTTTGAGCCTTTAGTTTTGAATACATTTTAACCTTTGAGAGAGAGGTTCATTCCAGTATATTAAAAGGTGACATTTACCTTTATCAGCTTGTCCTGATTCCTGCAAATTTTCATGAAAATTTTGAAAATGTATAAAAAAGTAAAATATTGTGAAGTTAACAAAGAAAATAATTTTACACATAGTAAATAGCATTTAAATCAATTTTAATTACCAAAAAGAGGTCAAAATATCCAAAAATTACCCTTACTGCATTAGAAACGCTGTAGAAATATTGTGGTGAAAAATATTGCAAAATCAGTCATTAATTACACTTAATATGGAAATCATTAAATCATTACTTTTATCTTGAATCTATTTAATTTTCTTAAAAGTTCAGTACATTTTTCTCAAGATTGATTTTTAGCTCACCTGAGCTAGCTCAGGTTGAGCTTTTAGGATCATTGAATGTCCGTCATCTGTCCATATTTGTCTGTTAACACTATAGTGGTCACAAATTTGCCTCAATCATCATCAAACTTTGTCAGGATGCTTGCCTAGGTAATAGCTCGGGTGAGTTCGAACATGGGTCATCTCAGATGTAAAACTAGGTCACAGGAGCATAAAATAGAAAAATCTTGTTAACATTCTAGTGGCTTCTGTTTTGATCCAAATATCCTGGAAATTTGTCTGCAAGTTTGTTTTGAAGATTTCTAGGTCAAGTTCGAATATTGGTAAATTAGGGTCAGAAACTAGGTCACCTCACCCAAATATGAAAAAACCTTGTTAACACTCTAGTGGTCACATTTTTGACTCAATTGTCATCAAACTTTGTGAAGATGCTTGTCTAGGAAATTGCTCGTATAAGTTCAAACATGGGTCATCTCTGATGAAACACTAGGTCACAGGAGCTAAAAATAGAAAAAAAACTTGTAAACACTCTAGTGGCTACTGTTGTTATTCAAAAATAATGATAATAATGTGTCACCTGGGGTCAAAAACTAGGTCACACTTTCCTAATATGGAAAAACCTTGTTTACACTCTAGTGGTCACATTTTTGACTCAACTGTCATCAAACTTGGTGAGGATGCTTTTCTAAGTAATTGCTCGGATGAGTTTGATGGGTCAGGTGAGCGATCTAGGGCCATCTTATCCCTCTTACTTTGGCTTGTCTGAAAGGATGCAGAATTTGGCAATGGTACTTTCTAAGCTACAAATGTTTTTTTGAATGTATAAATATTGGTGATTTTGTATAATGATCTATGTTTTAGTAAATACAGAAGATGCATTAATCCATGAGTATTTAGAAAAGACAGACTTAACACATGTATGTGAGAGAACAAGAGGGCTGGATACACAAGTTGAATGGAACTGGTAAATTATTATAAAACATAGTGATGTTTTTGTTTGGACTATTTAGCAAAATTTTTACACATTTTGATCATGTCTCAGGGATTGGTTCACCAAATTTTACAAATTTTGGTCATGTCTCAGGGATGGGTTCACCTAACTTGCTTTTATTGAGAGCTAAATAGTAATAACCAATTCCTCCACTCGTGACTGATTGCTAATCCCTCATGGTTTATGAATCAGTGGTAAGAGACAAATGACCAATAGATGTCCAATGGTCACAGAGAAATTACGCCTCACCTGGATTACTGTTCAATATATATTCTCACTATTAAGTAATGATGTATTAGAATAATGGTCTTAAAGTCTGTATGTGTTGGATGACTTCAGCTTTTAAATACTTAAAGGTTAAATACAAATTTAGTTCAAAGAATATTAATTAAAAGCAGCAATCAAATGAAATCGTGTCTCAATCTCTGTGACATAGTGTTAAAGTTGGTGACTCAAAACCATATATCCCAGATTCTGCTCTTCTATTATTTGTTTCTGCTCTTCTATTATTTGTGCTTCAGAGTGAACATATATGTATCTCTGTTCTCTAATAATATCAAAGGATGACTTTGTCCTTTACAAATGAAACCAAATAAAAAATCTTTCGTACCAGGAGTTAAACCTGTGGTTTATATGATCCGTTAGCAGGAAGACAAGTTGCTTTGATTGCTAATGTAGTCCACTTGGGACAACACTTGTAGTTTAGTTTTGCTGAAGCTTAAATTTGTTGTCTCCCTTTGATTAAAATTGTAAAAGCTAGAACGAAGAACGATTCTCATATAAAGGTCTTTTATGCATGCCTTAATTACATGAATGGTATGTTGTACTAGTATTTGCATTGGTAGTTCCCAATGTTTCTTGTTTAATATAAAATACCAGCATTTCAACATCTGCTGACTGGCCCTTAGTAGAGCAGCAACAGAATTAGTTCTTAAAAATGTAAAACTTCACAATAAACAAAACTTTCCAAGAAATACACATTTCAGCATTATCAAATTAGTGGTAACATAGTTTACACATCATTAAAGTGATATAAGGATCTTTAGCTGCTTGGCTTTTAGCCCCATTGGTGGCAAGCCATAGTTTTCTTAAGCAAGACTATACACACATTGTTCAGTACTGGTTGGTTCCGAGAACAAATCGAAGATTGTATATATAATCTTATAGCTTCCTTCAAACAAAAGGAAATTTTGTCTTAGCTAATAAACAAAATCTTTATCTCTAAAGAGGTTGCTCTGCAGAAGTTGAATTCAAGTGAACTAATGTCTTACAGTCAGTGTCGGTTTACATGGAAGCTCTTTTTTTTCTTCCTAAAAGATCTATGTAAAGAAAAGTGATGTGAAACTGTCAATGCTGTTTTACAGGTATGATGAGCTGTCTCCTGGAGAAATGCAGAGACTTTCATTTGTTAGGCTGTTTTATCATAAACCGAAATTTGCAGGTAAATTTTTTTTCATCTATCATGAATATTTCAAAATTTGTAAAAAAAATGATCCCACAAAAACCACAAAAAACAGTACACACAGCACTGGATCACTGAGCTAAAGAATGATTTTACTTGCACAATTGTTTGAGGTTGTATTTATAGTAAGGGAGATGGATGTGCTCTCACATATGAAGGGGCCTCTGTGACTGAGTGGGTTATGTTGCTAACTTCAAATCACTTGCCTATCACAACTTTAGGTTTGAATCCTGTCAGTGGTTCTATCGAGGTTACTGAAGCCTGTTAGTTCTACTCTTTTGCCTGAATAAATCATGAAGGAGAACCGAAGCAAAGTAGAGGTTGCCATATGAGCTTAAAGTAGCAATGTAAGATCTTATCAACAACAGCAAAATGACATATAACATTTTATCTCGCTACCATAGTTTGTGACTATTTACTTCGTAGCAGAATGAAATGCATATTAAAAATTGGAACCTGTAATTTCAAGTTTGTAAAATAAGAAATGGTAAATTTTTAACAGCACCTTCAAATACATTTTTTTAAATGTATGACTCTTACTCATCAGTAAAAGGAGTAACTATTAATGCATTTCAGAATTTTAAAATTTGTCTGTAATTACTTCAGTAATAAGAAGCTATAATGATGTGTGTGAACTGTTTAAAATTTTTAAATGTTAATATTAAAAACCTAAAATGTTAATGTTAAAATCACATAAATATGCTTTTTAATAATCCTAATTTATTTTCACTAACTTCTACCTGACCTTGACATTTCAATGTCATATTTTTAAGATGGCATGTGTGTTGTATATGACCATCATGTTTAATGAATGGAAGTTTAATTGAAATAACTTAAATTACCAGATGTTTTTGACATTTTCCAAAAAGAATTTTTACTTCTTTTATTACAAATCATATTCTTGTTTTTAAAGTTTTCAAAGGTCATGGTTACAAATAGAAACTTTGTTAAAAATCTGATGCTTAAGGAGGGTAACATTCTCTCTGATATTTAAGTCAGTTAATGGCACCAACAACAATTTCTGAAAAGTAACATTAGGTTTATTTGCTATCACTTAGTGTCCTTAAATATCTTAAAAGGAATTTATTACATTTAACAATGTATATGTAAAACAGTAATGGAAGGAGTTATCTTAACAGAAAATGCATTAGGTTGTTGAAAATCTATTGATGTAAACAAGTAGTTTAGATTTGGAACACGATGACACGAAGTTAGGGTAGCTATTTCCAGGAAACTACAAAAAAGTTGTCAGTTGTAACAAAATGTTAGCGTGGAATAATTAAGTATTATCGTTTAATTGATCAGTTTACCTTAACAGTGGTGATAAACATTTCCATTTGAAACCGTGAATTACGATGTAATTGACATTTTACCATGTTACAGTTATCTTTTAGAAACGTTTTATTTCAAAGAATTTATTGCGATATTATTTCGTTATGCTTTTAGGATAATGTGCTTAAACTGATAAAATTGTATTCATTTGATTAGCGTGGGTAATTGTTTGAGGAAGTTATTCCTGAAATTGTGGGCAGATAATGCTTGTTTACTGCATTTTTTCTTTCTCTTACACAATTTCAGAAATAAAAAATTACATGTTGCTTTCATCTATATTTTGAACACATGAAGTAACTTAGATTCCTAAACATAGACTATGAATAGCATGATGGCGAAGAGTTATATATAGACTATAAATATGTGAAATAACAAAGGGCTATTTTTAGTATATTACTAACACGGAAAGAAAATAGAACACAAGAGAAAGTAGTAAAATTCATATACAATGTATCACCAAACTGTTATCAATCACAGTTGTTTATCGAACGTCCAATCCAGAAACAAATTTTAGCCGTGGACCTGCCATATTTCTTGTATGGACTTGTCCAGATTCTCCCCTTTTGTCAAAGCAGACATTTGCCTCCCTGTCTTTTTAAAAGGGAGAGTGTTTCTTTGCTTTCAGATTTGAAGGATGGACAACCCCCCTATGTTATATTTGCCATATGATATAATAATACAATGTCTATCCTTTAAAAAATACAACTGGTCAAATATTCCCAACACAAAATAAGGGGAGGGCAATGTCCTAAAATCATAAGATTGAGAATATTATAATATGCTATGTGGTGAGCTTTTTAGCTCACCTGCCACAAAGTGACATGGTGAGCTTTTGTGATCGCTTTTCGTCAAGCGTCCGTCTGTCGGGCGTCCATAAACTTTTACTTTAAACGATAAACTGCTGAACCAATTTCATCCAAACTTCACAGGAATGTTCCTTTAACAGTAAACTTAAAAAATTGTTCAAAGAATTAAATTTCATGCAGAACTCTGGTTGCCATGGCAACCGAAAAAAACCCTTAAAATTTATTCTTTTAAAAAACCGAAAGAGCTAGAGTTTAAATCTTTGGCATGAAGCATTGTCTAGTCATAGTCTACCAAGTTTGTTCAAATAAAAGCCTTGGGTTCAAAGGGGGTCATTGATTTTCCTAAGTTGTATATAGAAAAAAACTAAAAAATTTTTTTTTTAAAAACCCAAATAGCTAGAGCTTAGATATTTATCATGAAACATCTTCTAGTGGGTCTCTACCAAGTTTGTTCAAATAAAAGCCCTGGGGTTAAAATTGGCCCTGCGCCAGGGGGTCATTGTTCGTTTATGTATATAGTAAAAACTTAAAAAAAATTATTTAAAAAAAAACCCCAAATAAAAGCCCTGGGATCAAAATTGGCCCAGCCCAGGGGGGGGGGTCATACTTTTTCTACTTTTAAAAACTTAAAAAATCTTTTTTAAACCCCAAAGAGCTAGAGCTTAGATATTTATCATGAAACAATTGGTAATGAGTGTCTACCAAGTTTATTCAAATAAAAGCCCTTGGGTTAAAATTGGCCCCACCCTGGGGGCCTATATACAGGTGAGTGATTTCAGGGCCATCATGGCTCTCTTGTTTGAAAGTACCTTTTCATTTAAGTATGTGATGTGTTTTTTTCAGTATAAAGTACATAATGTACATGTTATATTTCAGTATTAGATGAGTCTACAAGCCAAATAGGTATTGATGCAGAGAAAGCCATGTACAGTCTGTGTAGGGACCTAGGTATTACAGTTCTCAGTGTTGGTCACAGGGATACTCTAAAACAATATCATGATTTAGAACTTCATTTTAGTGACAGTGGAGAGTGTAGTATTAAACCAATTATACATAAAGGACAAAATGGTGCTTCTATAGCTTAATTCTTGACATGATGATTTTAAAATGTTTTATATGAGATTTTTAGTACTTTTATGTTATGTTGGTGCAATTAGTATTGAAATTTTGCTACAAAATTTGGTTTGACGGCTGACAGAATCTTGTAGAGGAAACAAGATTTTTGTTGCAAATTGATTGATTTTTAAAAGTTTTTTTTTCAAAAAATAGGGGTTCATTATGGGCATTGTTAAGAAATATAGTTCAATTCTATGTATAATTAATGTTTAAACTTAGTATTGCTTAGCATAGAAACATTTAAAATTAAAACATCAGTTGATAAAGTTGTTGATTTATGTAATGAGAATAAGAACAAGTCTGCCAAACACAATTTTGTTTGTGCTTGTGTTTTATTGTTTGTCAAGTGACGATCTGTATTGTATCTATAAAGGATTTTATTTGATGGACAAACTTGTTTCAGATTATTTGATCTCAATATTGCTGTTTTAAAGATTTTTTTCAACAATTTTATGTGTGTGTGCAAGTGGCCTTGATAAAACATGTCACAAGTATGAGATAAAGTAAATCTGCAAAGTTCAGCCTGATTTGAATTAACAGAAAGATGCTCAAAATTATAACTTTGTTACTGAAACACCTGTAATTAACTTAGACAATATGAAATTCCTATCTGGACAAGTCCATGACTTAATCACAGTAAGTATGCAGATATTGTAATTAATTATGTGCAGTTAAGACTTTTATTAAAAAAATACAATATGACAAAAAGAAAACGTCAGTTAGATATAAATTGTTTTCTCATTCACAAGATATTTCAATTTGACAGGGTAAATGTATTTTATCTCATAACTAATTTGAAACCTTTTTTTGGTTTGGCTGGAAATGTAATGCAAGACTTTATGTTAGAATTGATAAAAGTTAACATGTTTTTGTTTCTTTACTAAACTCTTTAATGAAAACATATCAAGTTGATATTATAATTGATAATACAGATCAAGATTAGCTTGTGCTTTTTGTTGCGTCAGTCAGGCCATGTTTTGCAACTTTCATTAAAAATGATTTAAATGGTTTTGTCAAGATTGAAAGATCGGCGAGTCTGCTAAAGATATTTTAAATTAGCGTGTAAGTACAGAAGTGAATAAGCTTTTTTTCATAAGAACATTTGTATGGTAGAATAAGTGAAGAGTTGTTTGTAATTTAAAAAAAATATATACATGAATAAAATGGAACAGTGAAAATTTTAAACATGTTTGGTAGCAGAATACCATATATTGACACTAGGAAATTTTTCAATTTGTTTAATGGTGTAGAGATTTGTTTATTTACTGATTTGTTTTTACAACAAATTTAATAATATATTAGAAGTATCAATCTGAGATTATTATCATAGTACAACTGCCAACATTTTACATTTTATGTAATAGTTATGTTCAAAGTTTATGATCTATGTAACTTTTATGCGTCTGTTTTAAATAAACGTCAGGGTGCCATTGTGTTCCGTGTGTTAAAAATTGACGTCAGGGTGCCACTCTTTCCAGAATTCAGCTAATAAGTGTGAAGTTGTGTATATTTAAAGGGCATTTGTGGTCGAGTATTATTACAGAAGAATTGTGTGAAGAACATTTTACAGTTTGTTAGAAATCCATATTTGTTTTGTGGGTTTAGTTTGAATTGTTAAATATATTTTGTGTAGCTACTTATTAACTTGTAGAGCATTTTGTTGATTAGGGTACTTTTAGAAAGAAAATCGTTGTCGTTTACTAATTATTACTTTTAGAAGCATTTTAACAATTATGTGTATGTGCTTTTTTATGAGATATAAATAAATATGATGAAATCATAAATGTGTGACTTTTACTTTTCATTCACCTAAATTTTTTTCATTTCAATGAACACTTTTTAGCTCGACTATTCGATAAGAATAAGTAGAGCTATTGCAGTCACCCGAGCGTCGGCGTCGGCGTAACCACTTATGTTAAAGTTTTTGTAATAGTTCAAATATTTTCAAAGTCCATTGACATATGGCTTTGAAACTTTGCACACTTGTTCACCATCATGACCCCAACCTGTAGACAGGAGGAGGTAAATCTATCAAGCATTTTGACAGAATTATGCCCCTTTTTTGACTTAGAATTTACGTTAAAGTTTTTGTAATAGTTCAAATATTTTCAAAGTCTATTGACATATGGCTTTGAAACTTTGCACACTTGTTCACCATCATGACCCCAACCTTTAGACAGGAGGAGGTAACTCTATCAAGCATTTTGACAGAATTATGCCCCTTTTTCGACTTAAAATTTACGTTAAAGTTTTTGTAATAGTTCAAATATTTTCAAAGTCCATTGACATATGGCTTTGAAACTTTGCACACTTGTTCAACATCATGACCCCAACCTGTAAACAGGAGGAGGTAACTCTATCAAGCATTTTCACAGAATTATGCCCCTTTTTCGACTTTGAATTTACGTTAAAGTTTTTGTAATAGTTCAAATATTTTCAAAGTCCATTGACATATGGCTTTGAAACTTTGCACACTTGTTCACCATCATGACCCCAACCTGTAGACAGGAGGAGGTAACTCTATCAGGCATTTATTTTACTATCAAGCACTAAGAATAGTCGAGCGTTGCTGTCCTACCGACAGCTCTTGTTTAGCTCACTTGAGGACAATGTCCTCAAGGTGAGCTTTTGTGATGGCCCCTTATCCGTCGTCCATCGTCCGTGCGTCCGTCCGTTCTTTAAACAACTTCTCCTCCCAAACCACTAGGCAAAATTTGTTGAAGCTTTGCAGGGATGTTCCTTGCACGAAGCTCTTCAAAGAATGTAATTCCATAAAGAACTCTGGTTGTCATGGCAAATGTAAAAAAAAAACTTGAAAAAAATCTACTTTTAAATAATCCAAAATACCTAGAGCTTAGATGTTAAGCATGAAACATCTTCTAGTGAGTGTCTATCAAGTTTGTTCAAATAAAAGCCCTGGGGTTAATATTGGCCCCACCCCGGGGAGTCATTGATCTTATATGTATATAATAAAAACTTAAAATATCTTCTTGTGAAAATCTAAAAGAGGTAGAGCTTAAATATTTGGCATGAAACATTCTACTTCTAGTGGATGTCTACTAAGTTTGTTCAAATAAAAGCCATAGTTTTAAAATTGACCCCGCCACAGGGGGTCATTGATTTTCCTTATATATACATGTATATAGTAAAAACTTAAAAAATCTTCATGTGAAAATAAAAAAAAGCTAGAGCTTAAATATTTGACCTAAAACATCTAGTGGATGTCTACCAAGTTTGTTGAAATGAAAGCCCTAAGGTCAAAATTCGCCCGGCCCCAGGGGTCATTGATTTCCCTTATGATATTATGTATATAGGAAAAACTTAAAAAGATCTTCTTGTGAAAATCCAAAATATGTAGAGCGCCCGTAGATATTTGGCATGAAACATGTTCTAATGAATGTCTACCATGTTTGTTGAAATAAAACCCCTAGGGTCAAAATTGGCCCTGCCCCAGGGGGTCATTGGTTTTTCCTTCTATGTACTGTAAATCCAGTATTTTTCGCGATGTTTTAATTTTCGCTATTTTTTCACGAATAGAGACAGGCTGAACTGTTTAATAAAATGGTTGCCAGAGCTAAAATTAGAAAAACAACATCTAAACAACATCTAAACCACTGGTTCAATTTTGAAGTTATTTTACAAAAAAATGTCCTTGGTGACAATGTACAAAAATTGTTCAGATTATACAGTCCCTTGTTTTCAAATTGTGTTTCTGGTTTGAAAAGGGGCTCCACTTTGACCGTTTGACTTATTTCTCAGGATAGCGATCCAGGGCCCTCTGGGCCCTCTTGTTATATTCAACATCTTACGTTGTTGCATAGTAAAGTTTTGAAAAGACGTTTCATGGTCAGTCAATTGATATAGAAATAGAAATATGACAGATCGGGAAAGATGACTTATTTATTTGATATTTCAATTTCTTCCTAAATGTAAATATGATTTGTCCATGAAAGAAAAGATAGTTTTTATATTCTTTCAGGATAAAATATAGTTTGCCTTTATTTCATATGAAATGTTCACTGCTTATTCAGTTTATTGTTAAGCGTCTGTGAGCTATGATAAGCAAATAATAAGATCAGAAATAACTGGGCAGTGCTTTGCAAACATTACTGACTGTTCGATTTATTATTATAAGATCTTTTCCTTTACTGATTTTCGACTGATAAACTATGTCCTTGCTTATCATTTTAAGCTGTTAAGCTTCATTTGTTCTCAAAATTGAAGTTAGATATATGAGTTTTCCAATGCATAGGTGGATATTTTTATGAATATCAAGGGTACAAATTTAGCATAAGGTTCTCGTGAGTACTTACAATCTTGGCACATAGAATATATATCTGAATATTTGATATGAGATATGTTAAGCATAGTGAGAGTATTCCTAACAATTATTCAACGTAACGCAAGCACATTTTAATGACGCTGTAATAATTCTCTTATTTTCATAAATTCAAATTATTTATGTTGTCTTTCTTCATATGTATGCAAAGTAATGTACAGTTATAATCAAAGTGGAAAAGTGAAGAGTGGACCATGAGACCGCTGACGTTCCCGTAAATATAAAATTATTAACAGTCTCGTTGACACTTACGTAAATAAACAAGGAATACTTTTTTAGAGTATACTATTCTCTATTATTTGTGTATGGTAGCATATTTTTGATCATGATAAGTATACCAAGTATATTCATAAGTAATAGAGTGACTTGTCGGTACGATTAGGAGTATTTATTATTTATATGCTTTGATATAATATGTCATATCGAACAACCAGCCTAATGCATTGTCAATGACGTAAATCTTATAATGACGACAGACAGACATACAAAATTACTACTTGTTTTACAACTTGCATATCAAGTAAAGAGACCTTATTTCATTAAAGGATATTGTCTGAGAGAAAATATACTTGTATACTGCGACGATTCACTTAGATAATAAGATATAAATCTTCTCTATCTAACGTGACTTGACAGAACAAGTCCGAATAAGAGACTGATACTTTATGTCTCTAGACTAAAAGAATAGCGCATGTAAAGTTTTATCATGTAAACCTAAAATGCACTATTGCTTACGTTAAATATGGATATATTTGAGCCGCGTCACGACAAAACCAACATAATGGGTTTGCGAC